TGCACTGATCACCTCCTCTGAGCCAAGACGCCCAAAAACACTCGCTCTGGCCTGACGGTGGGCCTCGGGGAACTTACTCCAGCTCTGATACCACCTCAACCTCCTCACCCGTAACTCTTTATCGCGCGGAAGGATTCGCCAATGTGCCCACATGCGTGCCGTTGACCAGCGACGGAGCTCCTTTTCGCCATGGTCCGCGAGGCCCGAGATACCCAGACCCCTTCTCATCGCTGGTTGTAAAACCTGATCTGCTGCAGCACAAAAACGCTTGTCAGGAATCCTCGCCTCCATCCCCGATAGAAGGGCCGACTGGGCGAACGCGATCGCGGCCATCCTCTTGGCGCTCAGCAGCGTCGCGTGGCGCAAGAACAACAGGATCTTACCTAAGTCTTCCCTTCCCGCTTGAATGCGTTTCAGTTTTTCGACCTGGAGGGAACCGCTCGTCGTCAGCCAGCCCCCAAGAACTCTCATGAATCTCCCGACCTTGCCCAAGGTGGAAACGGCCCCACTGAAGACTAAACGCCGTTGCCCAAGAGAACCAGGACCGACGAGCTCGACCAGGGGGACTTTTTTTCGGGGTTGAGGGCGACGCCGATCTGGATCAGCGCGCGCTGCAAGTGCCCGCTGCTGACGCGGGCGAGCACCAGCAAGTGACATGCTTCACCTCCCATACGTTGTGGAGGTGGGCCTGGTCCAGGGATAACATGCTTGGTGATATCAGCCGCACACAGGGACAGGCCAACGTCCGTCGAGACCCCGTTCGGCTCCGCGACCAACGCCATAGATCCCGAAGTCGTACGTTGCCGAATAAAAAAAAAAAAAAAAAAAAACGGCTCGAGACCTCTCTGATAGAAGTACGGGAAGCCACGTGCAGAATTTGGATGGCCCATGAAATCGCCCGTGCTCGGGCGCAAGCATATCGTCTCACCTGCAGTAATAATCTGGCACGCGCTCTGAATGATCCGCTGATGTTGGAACCTGACATCTTCCTCCAAGTAAAGCAAGGGCAACGTATCCAGCATGGTGTCCCTCGATGCACTAGAAAAAGCAGTTGTCGCATCTTCGTTAACAATCACGTGGGAATAACCCTGCCTTTGCAGTCTCCATGAGGTACAGCATTGAGTTAATTTTGCATCTTCTCGCATGCGCTTCTTTGCAAATCCATGACATACATAAGGTAGTGGTTCGCGATGCCGCCGAGCTCTGACCCACACATGCGAGTTCCACGCCTTGCCCAGAGGGCAAAAGAGATGGATCCACCTTTGACTTCCAGCGCCTGATCTACCGTTGTGTTTATCCAGTTTACAGCAAGCTGACACATCAAATATAAGCGGGGTTGCTGATGTCCTGCGAAGGCAAGCGAGCAAGTCCAGAAAACGCTCGCGCCTGTGCCGAAGCTGGTCGCAACTCAGCTCCCACCCCACCTCCGCGACATTTGTCCTAGCCTTCCTCGTCCGACAAAGCAAGCCAGAGCTCAGATGGGAGAGACCATGTCGGTGTAGCCCGTCTCTTTGGAGCTTGTCTCAACTGCCGAAGAATCCTAATCATGTCTTGTCTGGCCGCGTCCATGCGCTCGAACTGCATAGCGTTATAACGCACCTCATCTGAAGCATCCCATCCGTCGGTGTGCGGGCGGCGAACCTCTCAACAAGCTCAGCCTGAAGGTCGCACCGAGAGGCACCAAGTCCACCAGCCGTAGCGGGGCGACACAGAAATTCAGAATTCTCCGGGGCTTCGCTGTTCTCGGACTTCAGCACAACATACTTTCTGTGTCGGGGTCCCGCACCTCGCTTTGACAGACGTCGTATGATTCGCTGCACGTTGAAGTGGTCGTGCGCTTTCCATGCCTCGTTCAGCTCAGCCGTGAGTGACGCTACTCTTTCTCTGTTGATGAGCTTCGAGAGATGACGTGTGCGAAAAGTCGTTCGAGCCAACAGCAGTTCCAAGTCCCTCTTCTGCTCCAGACAGGCCTCCCCCATGGAAGGAAAAGGTGGCTCCGAGGGCCCAGGCGCCTCCAGGATGATAGAGGGGACCGAAGGGCCCGAAGGCACGACCTGGCCAGGAGACGCCACGGAGCCCTGGGCCGGGACACTGTCGGGCACGCACCTCCCAGATCATGGTGCAGAAAAGATCAAATGTGCTTGCCTCTGAACCGCTTCCGCTCACGAAGTAAAGAAGAGCGTTCCCTTTCCAACTGTGATAGTTTATTCTCCTGCTGCGACTACTTTGAAACAGTATCCTGTGCCGAGGCGACCATGGGACTCACTGCAGAGTCCCACGCCTCGTCCACGGTCGCCCTCGAGCACAATCGGACCCATTACTCCTCAGGAACAGTGCTGATCGACTCTTGTATCGCCTCGATCGACGCCGTGCAAGACGAGCGGCCCATCAGCAATCTCAAGGTACGATCGCAATCCCAAGCTGGTTTGCGCTCACCAAACTGCGCCTGAACATCGTACTTACATTCAATCAAAATGGGTCGATGCTCGCGGACATCGAGTGTAGAAATCGGTTGCAATCGTCGACCCGCCCCGTGAAGAAGAACACACCGTCGAACGTGCTGCCGAAGCTGCTGAGGAATCACCAGAAAGTCAATATGCGACGTGGAGGTGCCCACCCCAAAGAAGGTCGGGCCAAGCGGCATGAAGGTGTTAATCGCGCACATGTGTGTGTCCACTAGCAGCTGACGAAGTGCGCTCCATGCAACCCCTTCGGGGTCCCTACCGCAAGGTCCAATGCAGGTCCAGTCCTCCACGTCCTCGTCCTCAACAGGGATCATGTCGCCCTCGAACGCGTAGTCCCGAGCGTTGCCCAAACCGTCGTTCAGGTCCATGCCTAGAATAGGTGCACACCGCCCCCCAATAGACTGCAATATCTTACGAATCCAAGCCGTCATTCGTGTCACAATTCGTCGTTGCTCTGCTCGGCCTGCGCGAACGCTCGAATAGACTGGGTAGTAAAGCGAGGCGAACAGCACGTCCATGTTACCCGACTTCAATCTCACTGCGCCGCCGCGCCCTTCCAAGTCCACGGGTGGGGCGAACATCTTTCTGATGAAGCGCTGGGGGAAGACTTTAGAGTGCAGCGTGATGCTCGTGCCACAGGCTTTGTTCGATGATCTCGAGAAACCAAATGATATTTCATAGTGCCGCGAATGGCGAAAAACTCGATGAGGTTCGCCTGCTCCTTTACGCCGACAAGCCCCCTGAAGTAGCACGGCCCCCACATTTCCAAATTCTGAAGAAACCTCTTCCCCGCGTAGTCCGCAAAGATGCATCGGATTGTACGAAACTGCACGAATGTGCCCCAGCGTCCTGGGGGTGCCGTCGCCCATGGTGTTCAACTGACGTACTCGGTGTCGTCGTCGCACTGGCGAGTAGCCTGCGACAAGGACGGGCGTGGCAACACCCTTTCTCATGAAGAGCGCGGGCCCCGCACGAGGAAAGGAAGCATCGCTGCCTCTGAACGGAGTGCCCTGGCAATTCCAGTAGCTGCGACGAGTGTGTGTTTTAAGCCGCGACAGCAGCTGGAGGAGGAGGAGGAGGAGGAGGACAATCCCAGGCTCTCGGCCGTGAGTACGCACCTCCCCCCAGCTGGGTTTCCCCAGGAGGTTCCTCAGCAACTCCTGACGCTTCGCTTTCCTCAATCTTTGGCATTTCGCAGGAAATCCCTGACATGTCATCGGACATTCATAGCAGCCCCCAGGAGATCCTGAGCATATCCTCCGCCTGTCCTCAGCATTCCCAAGGAAATGCGAGGGGCGCATCGCATCTCCTAGGAGTTTCGGATCCTTGGGATTCCCGAGGCAATCTTTTGCTGGTCCGTGACAGGTCCTAGGAAATGCACAGCATACCCAAAGGTATCCCCAAGGATGTCTTGCGCGGCGCGCGACGCGCCACGGAATTTTGTTGTTGTTGTTGTTTTGATGTATGCGAGGTGCTAAAGATATCGCTCTGCGACAACGACCCCCTGAAATTATTAAATATTGGTGCGGTGCTAACGATAACCCCGGGGAGTTCTTAAAGGCTTGGTGCGGTCATGGGCATCAATCACCAAGGATGGATCCTGCCCGGAGGAGGAGGAAGGGAAGGTTTTCCGTAGTCTCTACTGCGGTGGTCCCCAGAGGTTTCCACAGGTCCCCAGAGACATCCGACGGCCTTCGGGGATCCACGGAGGTCCCCAAAAGGCCTACAAGGCCACACAACTCGGACCCACGATTCCCGACGTGGTGGCGGAGGAAAGGGATGCGGAGTAGGAGGACGATGTCGAGGACGAGGGCGTGTATGATGTCTGAGACGTGCGGGACCAGCACGAAATGACTGTGACAGGCCGTTCCCACAAGATAGACCTCACAAAATGGTCGACCCTGTGTGGATGAGGAGAACGAAGGGAGAAGGAGGCGGGCAAACGGCTGAGGAGGAGGACCTCGGCCAATGGTCTCGGCCACTCTGTGCCTCATGTAAGTGGGCCGCGAGGAGGAGCACGAGGAGGAGCACCAGTGAGTGAGAACGAGGAGGAGCACGAGGAGGAGAACGAGGAGCAGGACGGGGAGCGGGGCGAGGTTCGGTTCGGTCTTCCTCTGATGCGCGAGTCATAGCTCGCGACTGCCGGGCAGGTGCCGCCCGCAGGGGAAGCGACGGTTGAGAGGGGGGAGGAGGACGAGCAGAAGGACGACGGCGATGCCTACAGGAGGACGGGGGCCCTGGGAAGCGACAGCCGAGATGGGGGGGCGAGGAGGAGGAGGAGGACGACGACCAGAAGGACGATGTCGATGCCTGAAGGAGGTCGAAGGCTTCGGGAAACGACAACCGAGATGGGGGGGCGAGGAGGAGGAGGAGGAGGAGGAGGAGGAGGAGGAGAAGGAGGAGGAGGAGGAGGGACAGGTGGAGGAGGAGGACGACGACGAGAAGGACGACGGCGATGCCTGCAGGAGGACGGGGGCGAGGGCGATGCTGCGGTGCTGCGGACGTCCTGTGGGAAGTGCTCGCGGCCGCGCGCGCAGCAGCGGCCCTTCGCTCGAGCCATGGGGCGGTAGCGGTGGGCCGCGGGCAGCGGGGGCCGGGGGCAGCCCTGACGCCGCTGGGGTGCGCGGGGTTCGCCCGTCGTCGCCATGCTTCCGGGAGCCCTGAGATCCTGCCGTCGCAGTTCTTCGAGCCGAGCGTGTTCGGCTCAGTTTCGGGACCCAGGACCCTCACAGGTCGTTCCGGGTCGACAAATCAAGCAGAAAGAGGGGGGTCCGGTGATGATTCTTGCGATGTTCTAGTTTTTTCGTGCCGCCGGATCTCAGGGAGGGCTCTGCAGGGAGGACCACTGGACTGCGACCCATTGGAACGGCCGCGGAGCCCGATACAGCCTCCAGCGTCGCCCGATCTCAGAGACATCCGATTTGTCCCAGCTCGGTTTTGTCCCGGCTATTGGCTTCTTCTTAGGATAGTGGTCCACAGGCGAAGGGGTCCTGAGGTCCCGAGGTTCTCCGCGCTGCCGGGCTCCCCCCCCCAGGCGTGCAGGGTCGTCAGCAGAGCTCGGGCTCGGCACGGAGAGCTGGTCCCAGGAAGCGCCCGAGGCCTCCGGGACCGGCTCCCCTGCCTCGGGGCCCGTCCGCTTCACGTCAACGGTGTCGTCCTCGTCCAGGTGGCCCCGCGCCCCTAGGACGACGACCACGACGACGACGACGACGACGACGACGACGACGACGGGCAGGAGGAGGATGAAGAGGAGGAGGATGAGAAGGAGGACCAGAAGGAGAAGGAGGAGCAGCATCGGCAGCCGCGGCAGCAGGTTAGCAGCAGCGGGGGCAGGGTCAGGAGGAGGGTCGAGCGAGATGGAGGAGGGTCTGGAGGAGGAGCTGGAGAAGCATAAGGGTTCGGCGAGAGGAGGAGTAGCAGCCGCGGTCAGATGAGGGGATGGGGAGAAGGATTAGGAGGCGACGCCGACGCGGGAGAACGAGGTTTTGAAGGAGGCGCAGTGGGAGGAGGAGGAGGAGGAGGAGGAGGAGGAGGAGGAGGAAGTGAGGGAGGAGGATGAGGGGGAATTGGGTGAAGGACGATGATAAGTAGGAGCAGGATGCAGATGGGGAGGGGAGGGGAGGAATGGACAGAGGGCGATGTGGAGGGGGGAAGGAGGAGGAAGACAGGGAGAGGAGAAAGAGAGAGAGAGAGAGATGCGGAGAATGACGGTGATGCTTTTCATCCCAGCACCTCCCTCCCCATCTCCCCGCCTTCCACCCTCCGCCCAACCCACCCCCCTACCCCCCCTTCGGCGTCGGGCTGCCCCGAGGGAGCCCGCGCGCGGGGGCGGCGCGCTCCCGCCCGAAAGCCCCGCGGCCGCTCCCCTCCCCCCCAGCAGGCAGGGCGCCCCTCCCCCGACAGCCAGGGGCAGCACCCTCTCAATGGGGGGGGAAACGGGGAGCTGGAGGAGGAGGAGGAGGAGGAGGAGGAGGAGGAGGAGGAGGTGGAGGAGGTGGAGAGGAGGATGGAAGGAGGAGGAGGAGGAGGAGGAGGAAAGGAGGAGGAGGAGGCGAGGAGGAGGAGGCGGAGGAGGAGGAGGAGGCGGAGGAGGACGAGAATGAGGAAGAGGAGGAGGCGAGGAAGAGGAGGAGCAGGAGGAGGGAGGAGGAGGGAGGAGGAGGAGGAGGAGGAGAGGAGGGGAGGAGGAGCTGAGCACGAGGAGGAGAGGAGGGGGAGGAGGAGAAGAACGAGGAGGAGGGGGAGGGAAGCGGAGGAGGAGGAGGAGGAGGAGGAGGAGGAGGACTTAAAGTACTAGTAGATATGACTCTGGGGCGTCTCAACCAGTGAGTGGGCCCAGTTTCCTGGTGTCACCTCTTTGGAGGGCACGTTGGCCTAGCGGAACAAAGTGGCCACGCAGCAACATGGCTTGACGCGGGTGGAGGAGGAGGAGGAGGAGGAGGAGGAGGAGAAGGAGGAGGAGGAGTAGGAGGAGAAGGAGGAGGAGGAGGGGGAATGGGGGAATGGGGGAATGGGGGGAATGGGGGAATGGGGGAATGGGGAATGGGGGGAATGGGGGAATGGGGGAATGGGGATGGGGGAAGGGGAAGGGGAAGGGGGAAGGGGGAAGGGGGAAGGGGGAAGGAGGAAGGGGGAAGGGGAGGAGCAGTTGGACGACGACAACCGCTGCGACGACGAGGGAGGAGAAAGAGGAGGAGAAGTAGGAGGAGGAGGAGGAGGAGGAGAAAGAGGACGACGACGAAGAACGACGGCGACTACGTCGACGACGCACGACTTCGCGATTCGGGGCTCACGTGTGACCACTGGCCACGACTCAAGCCTCACCGCTCACGACTCCCTGCTCACGGCCGACGACAACGCCGACGTGGGAGGAAAGCGACTTCGATTGCAGTAAGGCTTCTTGTGGGTTCACCCGTGGTTCCTAGAGCCTAGAGGTGCCAGGAGCGCGTCGTTTGCCCCAATCCCCAGGTAAGCGGGTGCGACCTCGCTTTTAATTGCACATCGGATCGGCGGGGAGGAGAGTGGAGAGGGAGGAGGAGGAGGAGGAGGAGGTGGAGGAGGAGGAGGAGGAGGAGGAGGAGGAGGAGGAGGAGGAGGAGAAGGAGGGAAGGAAGAATGAGGAGTTCGGAGGGATGAGGTGGGGAGGAGAGGAGGAGAGGAGAGGGAGGAGAGGAGGAGGAGGAGGAGGTGGAGAGGGAGGGAGGAGGAGGAGGGGAGGAGGAGGAGGAGGATGGAGGAGGTGGAGGGGGAGGATCCGTTTCGCCCTGGCATTCTCGCTGAACTCTCGGTTGATCTGCCACACATTATCGAACCCTCGGGTGCCCATGGCGCCCTGTGCGTTTTTTCCTTTGCGAGGACCATTGGGGAGCATCTAATTTGGATCATCTTGGGGTAAACACTCAAGAAAGCGGTGGGTCTCTCCCTGCCCGACAAGCGGCAAGCGGCGGAGGTGGGCATCCGGTCACGAAGTTAGATTGAGAATGATAATGAGGTGGCGGAGGAGGAGGAGGGGGAGGATCAGGATGAGGAGGACGCGGAGGAGGAGGAGGAGGAGGAGGAGGAGGAGGAGGAGGAGGAGGAGGAGGAGGAGGGAGGAGGAGAAAGAGGAAGGAGGAAGAGGAGTAGGAGGAGGAGAGGAGGAGGAGGGAGGAGGAGGAGGAGGAGGAGGAGGAGGCGGAGGAGAGAGGCTGGAGAAGCAGGATGGTGGAAGAGAAGGAGGAGGAGGAGGAGGAGGAGGAGGGTGGAGGAGGAGGAGGAGCAGCAGGAGCAGGAGCAGGAGGGACAGGAGGAGCTGGAGTAGGAGCAGGAGCAGGAGCAGGAGCAGGAACAGGATGTGGAAGGGGAGGACGCGGATGAGTAGAAGGAGGAGGAGGACAAGGAGGAGAAGGATGATAATGAGGAGGATAGGGAAGAGGAAGGGAGGAGGAGAAAGAGGAGGTGGAGTTGGAGGGGGAGGACAATGATGATCATGATGATGGTGATGGTGATGCGGACGATGATGAGGAGGATGAGTAGGAAGAGGAGGGATACGTGGATGATGAGGATAAGGATGACGATGACGATGATGATGATGATGATGATGATGATGATGATGATGATGATGATGATGATGATGATGATGATGATGATGATGATGATCATCATGATCATGATCATGATCATGATCATGATGAAGACGATGCTGATGATGATGATGATGATGCTGATGATGATGTTGATGACGATTATGATGATGCTAGTGATGATGATGCTGATTATGATTATGATGTTGATGAGGCTGCTGCTGCTGGTGATGCTGCTGATGATGATGCTGATGATCATGTTGATGCTGATGCCGATGCTGATGCTGCTGATGATGGCGGTGATGGTGATGCTCATGGTGATGGTGATTGTGGTGGTGGTGATGATACTGATTGCTGATTGTGATTATGATGACGATGATGATGATGATGATGATGATGATGATGATGATGATGATGATGATGATGATGATGATGATGATGATTGTGATAATAATGATGATGATTATGATGAGGAGGAGGAGGATGTTGATGCTGATGATGCTGATGATGCTGCTGCTGATGATGATGAGGTTGACGATGACGATGATGATGGTGATGATGAGGAGAAGGAGGAGGAGGAGGATGTGGAGGAGAAGGAGGAGGAGGAGAAGGAGGTGGAGACGGAGGCGGCCGCGGTCATGATGTACCCAAGGTGGGGCCTCATTCCCCCCCGTTCCATCCCCCCTCGTTGCCGTCGCTCTTCTCCTCGTCCCTCACCTCCCTCCTTCTCCCACTCCTCCTCCTCCTCCTCCTCATTCTCATCCTCGTCCTCCTCCTTCTCTAGCCTTCCAATCGTTCTCTTCTTCTGCCTCCGGCAGTGGCCCTCGCCGCCCCCGTCGCCGCCCGTTCCGTATACTGCTGCAGTATTGCTGGCTTGAGCAGGGAGGCGAATCCCCGATGCACACCAGTTTGTCCTGGCGGTTGGGAGCTCTCAGGGAGTTCGGTTGAGTATAAGAGGAGGCGCTCGAGGTAAATGATACAGCATCCCTTTGCGGCGGCAGGCCAACAAAGCACAGGGCCCAGCAGCGCAGGAAGCAGGGAGTGGCCTTGATGAAACAAACCATTTTCTCTCTCTCTCTCTCTCTCTCTCTATCTGTCTCACGCACCAGTCCTGCCCTCTGTCGCCTCCTCATCCGCTGCTCCTCAGCTGCCACCAGTCCCCCTCCTCCGCCTCCGCGTCCTCCGCCTCTGCCTCCTCAGCCTCCGCCTCCTCCGCCTGAGGAACGTAAGCACCACGGGCCCTGCATATGTATATGTGCCCCAGGCCCGTGCGTTCCCTACCCCCTCCCCTCCGCAGAGCGCCGACGTCGGGAATGTAGGCCCGCGCGCAGACTCATCGCAGGGAGTTGCGCTGCAGCTGCAGGCCAGCCGCCGCTGCCGCCGCTGCTTCACCGTTCCCCACGCGCCGTTGGCCTTTGCAACTCCTCCTCCTCCTCGTCTTTGTCCTCCTCCTCCTCGTCTTCGTCGTCGTCGTCCTCCTCCTCCTCAAGGCCATCCTCTCCTCATCCTCCTCCGTCTCGGTTTGCCTCGTCCGGACCTTTTGCAGTATGCCGCGAGGTGGAGCCTTTGTTGGCTGAGGACGTCGCCGTACAGCCCTCTGTCTGCTGGTCGATGCACTCCTCGTTCTCTTCTTCCTCCATCTCCCTCCCTGTCCCTCCTTCTCCCTCCTTGTCCTCCTCCTCCCCTCCTCCTCCTCCTCCTCCTCCTCCTCCTCCTCCTCATCATCATGCTCATCCTCCTTTTGTCATCCTCTCCTCTCTTCCTCCTCCTCCTCCTCCTCCTCCTCCTCCTCCTCCTCCTCCTCCTCCTCCTCTTGTTCTTTCTCCTCGTCCTTTTCCTCCTCCTCCTCCCCTCCTCCTCCTCCTCCTTCTCAGAGGCATCCTTCTCCTCTTCTCCTCCGCTGCCTGCAGCCTTGTCCACCCCCGGTCGCCACGGCCGTGGAGGTCCCTCAGATGGCGGGCTCGCCCTGGCAGATGGGGGGGCTGCCCCACGGCCTCAGCTTTGGGCCGCAGGCGCTCACGGGCTCGCCCTCTCTTTGCCGCCGCCGCCACCCCTTCCGGGAGGGGAAGGAGAAGGAGGGGAGGACGGAGGCGAGGAGGGAAGGGCAGGAAGCAGGAGGCGGGGCGGTGGTTGGGCTGGATCTGGTCGGGAAGGGGGGGGGCCAGGGCGAGGGGTCTGACGAGGAGGGGGATGAGAAGGAGGACTGTGTGTGTGTGGGTGTGTGTGTGGGGATGGTGGTGAGGATGAGACGTAGTTCGCGTGAGGAGGAGGAACAGTCGGAGGAGCAGGAGGAGGAAGGGAGGCGGGGGGTTAAAGGAAGCGGGTGAGGAGGGAGGAACGGTGATGCGGGGGGAGGATGTGGGAGGATGATGAGAAGGGAAGTGGAGGGTGGTAGGACGAGGAGTGGGAAGACGAGGAGGATGAGCGGCAGGAGAAGATGGAGGGAGGAGCAGTTGGGCCTCATCTCTCTCTCTCTCTCTCTCTCTCTTTCTCCCTTCCTCTCTTTCTTTCTTCCCGCCCCACTCCGCTCCGCGTCCCTTTTCCTCCTCCCCTCCCCGCTCCCCCTGCGGGTGCTTTTGCCCTTCCCCCCTCTTCCCCGCCCCCCGACTCCTCCCGCCGCTGCCTTCGCCACCACCGCTCCCTCCGCCCCCCGCTCAACTCCTCCCCTCCCCCTGCGGCAGGCTGACTTCGATGGGCGGTGCAGGGGTCTTGCACCGCCCATCGAAGACCTCCCTCCCTCCCTCCTCCTCCTCCTCCTCCTCCTCCTCCTCCTCCTCATCGTCCTCCTCCTCCTCATCGTCCTCCCCCTCCTCCCTGTCCTCCCCCCGCCATGTGCACTCCCTCCCCTCCGCCCTGCCCCTGAAGAGCATGCGCTGAGATGTTTCACTCTGCGCGCGCTGGCCGAACGAACGAGTGGAGATGCAGCGGCCGCTGTTTCGGGCGGAGCCATTTGCCATGAGCGGCGTCTCGATGGGCCCACGGGAGGTCTGGCAGGGTGACCAAGGTCCACCCGCCAGGAGCGCACAGCCAGCTGCGAACAGCCCAGTGCCACCGTCTCCTCCCGCGATGCCTCAACCCAGCGGCACCTGCATGTCGCTCCAGAAGGGCTTCCAGTACAGTCGGGGCGCTGAAGAAGGAACCCTGTTCGTTGGGGCGGGGCTCGGTGTTCCTTGATTGTTTCACAGTTTGCCTTGGGTTTTCCTTAGGTTTTCAATGGTAAATCGAAGTTTAAATTATGGAAAAAAGGGGCCTCGTTCCTTATTTAGGGTTCCTTAGGTCAACGCCCCGACTGTAACCACGACCACTATAACGACCCAGCAGGAGGTGGACCGACGATAGGGCAAACCCCATCCGCACGGTTCATGGAGAGGATTGGCGACCGATTGCGCCACATCGGTTACTCTGTGGCCCCAAGAACCGTACGTGCACTGGCAAAGGCAAGGTGCTCTGACCGAGTGGTTCGACCTGCCCGCTTCTCCGCTTCTTCCCGATCTCCGCCGGCGTATCATTCCGCTTCTCCGATCTCCGATCCCCGGTGACCCGGATCCTCGCTTCTCTGCTCCTCCGCGTCTTCTTCTCTGCCACTCCGTCCTTGCCGGCGCCGCGCGGCGCCGCCGACCAGCGCCTCGCAGGAACCGCGCCGCGGGGGCGGGCAGAGGCGCACCGTCCAGGCGGTCCGCGAGCGCGGAGGCCCTGGGCCGCGTGGGTGTGTGGCCACGCCCGCGAAGGGAGCCGTGCCGGCGCCACCAGCGCGCCCAGCGCGCCCAGCGCTTCGCGGCTCCTCGTCGCGCGGGGAGGCCTTCGGGTCGGCGGCCGCCAGGCGCCAGGGAGGCCTCGCACGGGGCGGAGGGGGCGCCCCTGCGGGTGGCCGCGATCTGCGCGCGGTCCCCGGGGGGGGGGGGGGCTTCGGAGTATGTCCTCGTTGGCCGCTCGATTCCGCCTCTCCTCCTCCTGCTCGCCACGGGGGGCACGGGATCGGGGATGGACGGACCTCCTGCCCTGACACGTCGATCAGCGAATTGGCCGTTTTCGATTCGCGGGAGGGCGCCGCGGCCGTCATTTTTGCGGGTCCAGGTCCGTCGGTTTCGGTCCCAGGCCGTTTTCACTAAAGGGTGGTTTACGAAAGGGAGGTTTGTCCACCGCCGACAGGACTGTCAGAAAACGGCTCCAGATGAAGAGCTTGCCCTGGGGAAAGGCCCCAGTCCAGGGTCCAGGACCCGCTTCCCTAGGGGCCCGCCTCCCCCGCGCGTATCCCTGCAGATCTTTCCGCACCTCTGGGTCAAGGCCAGGGAGGCGCGGGGGGCAGGCCAGGCCCACGCCCCGGCCCTTGCCGGAGGTGATCTCTCTCTCTCTCTCTCTCTGTTTGTGCGTGCGTGCGTGCGTGCGTGCGTGCGTGCGTGCGCGTGCGCGTGCGCGTGCGCGTGCGCGTGCGCGTGCGCGTGCGCGTGGCGTGCGCGTGCGCGTGCGCGTGCGCGTGCGCGTGCGCGTGCGCGTGCGCGTGCGCGTGCGGGTGTGGGTGTGGGTGTGGGTGTGGGTGTGTGGTGTGTGCGTGTGTGCGTGTGGTGTGGGTGTGGATGTGGGTGTGGGTGTGTGGGTGTGGGTGTGGGTGTGGGTGTGGGTGTGGGTGTGGGTGTGGGTGTGGGTGTGGGTGTGGGTGTGGGTGTGTGTGTGGGTGTGGGTGTGGGTGTGGGTGTGGGTGTGGGTGTGGGTGTGGGTGTGGGTGTGGGTGTGGGTGTGGGTGTGGGTGTGGGTGTGGGTGTGGGTGTGGGTGTGGGTGTGGGTGTGGGTGTGGGTGTGGGTGTGGGTGTGGGTATGGGTGTGGGTGTGGGTGTGGGTGTGGGTGTGGGTGTGGGTGTGGGTGTGTGCGTGTGTGTGGGTGTGTGTGTGTGCGTGCGTGTGTGTGTGTGTGTGTGTGTGTGTGCGTGTGTGTGTATGTGTGTGTTGCTGTTTCTCGTGGTTAGGTGGCCGCCCGACCTCCCCGAGGCGCCTGCGATCGATCGATCGGTCCTCCCTCCCTCCAGCCCTGCTCTGCTCCTCGCATCCAGGCCCGCATCCTCCGACCACCCTTCTCGTCGTCACGGTTTCCCCGACCATCCTCTTCACCATCCTCAGCTTCCTCCGCCCCTCGCGGTTTTTACCCTGCTGCTTGCGGCAAGTCCCGCCGCCATGCCGGCCCCAGCATGCGGCGACTCTTCGAGGAGCGCAGGAGAGAGAAGCCGTGACATGCGGCGCATCGTGTTCCGAGTCTTTCGAGAGCCTTACGAGGTTGCACGCTCCTTGTTTTCGTCGTCGCCTCCCGCCCTTCCTCAGATCCCATTCTCAGTTTGTTGGAGGCCTCTCAGGGGCAATTTGCGATGACCCTCTGGGCCGTTTTGGATCTTCTTGGGGCCCTGAAGGGTCTTGGGGCTCTTGGGCCGTCTTGGGGCGTCCTTTGGCGGCCGTCCTGGGGCCGTCTCGGGGCTGGCCGGGCCAGCTCGCGGGCCATCTTGGGGGGGCCTCTTAGGCCGTTTTGGGGGCCATACGGGAGGCCGCCTCCTCCTCGGCCAAAGCAAATGCGACAACGTGAGCGCGCGTCACAGCCTCTTAGGACATCGTCGACCATGATTTCTTCGGGCCCCGCACGGAGTCCTCGTGCAGCCGTCCTGGACCTTCCTGGGGACTCTCTTACCCTCGACCTCCACCATCCGCACCTTCCAGGCCGCAGATGCCGCGCAGCAACCGCCACCAGCGCAGCCACAGCGGCCGTCGAGGCCCTGGCGGCCGTCTCGGCCGTCGCCGCGGCCGCGCCGCGGCGGCACCTGCTGCGCGGACGGTGCGGAAGGTGGACGTCGAGGGTAGGCCGCCGTCTTGAGTCTTGAGATTGTTTTGGGCCGTCTCGGGGCGATCTCGGGACGTTTGGGAGGCCGCTTCGACAATCCTGCTGGCCGTCGCCTGCCTCGGCCGTCGGGGCAGTCATCCTGTCATCCTGGGAACGTTGGGTGCCCTGGCGAGCGCCAGGGAAGCGCCGGGCCGCCGCCCAGCGAGCTCCTGGAGGGGGGGCGCACTCAGGGGCAACGATACGGTCGCACAGAGGTGTGATGATCGAGGTCGGTTCGGGGAGGGTACCTGGATGTCCTCCATGTTTGTTGGGCGTTCTTGTGCATCCTGGGGGAGGTTACCCTGGAATGTTTCTCAGTTTGGCTGGCGGAGGGTCTCATGTTCTTGAAGGATGTTCTTCTGTCTTAGGTCCAGCCGTGGGGGGGAAAGGGCGCACTGGAGGAGTGCATCGACCCTCAGTCGCACTTTCATCGTCAACAGGGGCCCGATCGCCCCCAGGAAGGTTCGGATCTGCGGTCGGGAGCCTATCGCTGACCTATCGGCCATGCATCGCCGATTCCAGGTGGAAGTGTCCCCCCCGCCCCTATGCCACTCCCCCCACCATCGCTTCCCCTCATTCTGGAGTGAGGGGGGACATATGCACCACTCCGTGGCCAGGAAGGATAGATGGAATAGAAGACTTGCGGATACTCTGCCAGACAGCACTTGGCATCCTACCACGCCTCAACACATCACGGGGACGCGGTGGGTGATCAGGGTCCTTCTGATTATTCCTCACTCTCTTGCTCCTCATCATGATAATGGTCCTCCTCCCCCTCGTATGCCCCCATTTCCTTCCCCTCCTCCCGCCCTTCTTCGTTCTCCCTCTCTCCCACCATCCCCAATCCTCGACGTCCGCCTCCTCGTCCTCGTCAAGCTGCTGCTCATCCTCCTGCTTCGCCTGCTCCTCCACTTGATTCGTCCCCTTCTTCTCCCTCCCTCCCTCGCTCCCTCTGTTCTCTCTCACACACTCTCTCTCTCTCTCTTTCTCGTCTCTCCCTCTTGCTCTCTAGGTATATAGGTCTGTTGCAGTTCCCTGCTCCTCGTACACCCCTCTGTGCTAGCCCTGCGGCGCCAGAACGGCTTCGGGCCCCTGCCCCGCCGGAGCAGCGTCGGCGACATGCAGCTGGCGAGCGGCCCTTTCGCCCAGACCTCGTTCGGCCAGCCGCCGGGGGGCGGCGGCTACATGAGGCGCACGGTGTGGGGCGATGGGGAGGGGCGAAGGGCGCGAGGGAAGGGGAGGTTGAGTGGAAGGAGCGGGAGGAACAGGAGGACCAGGGGAAGGTGGGGGAGGGGGTATGAGGGAGGGACCACCACGAAGCAAGACTCGTCTCCAGAAAAGTGGCCAAGGCTGTGGCGAGAGCGCCATTCTGATCGACGGGAGCAAAGCACGCAGAGGCCCACGCTGCAGCGGGAGTACCGTTTTGAAACACCGGAAACAATCATGATGAAACAAGCCCTAGGAGAATCAATGCTTGAAGTCTGGCAAGCCAACAAAAAGCAGTGCGCGGAGGGGGCGGGAGATCTTCCAGACAACTTCAGGGGAGGAGGGAGGGTAGTATTCATATATTGGTTAGCCATTAATGGGGATATGGGAGGAAGCAAGGGAAGGGGTAGGGTGCGAGGGAATGGCGGAGGGGCCTTCTTGGAATCATGAGGTCGAAACGCGACGCATTCAAAACCAGACGGAAACCGTCAGGTGTTCAAATGATGTTGGCTTTCGTGGAGGGCTATTTTGATGTGGTGGAGGCTTCTTGGAGCACCTCTGGTGTGCCTTGAGGCAATACTGGGCCATCCTTGTGGCCTTGGCAGCCTTTTGGGGCAGTCTCGAAAGCCTCGGATAGCCCTGGAGAGCCACAGAGAGACGTCATCGCACCCA